TCAGTAATATAGAATAATACAAAATCTACATACAAAAATCAATCATGTTCCTATATGAAACAACAAACTGTGAAAAAAGTAAATTAAGAAAATAATGCCATAGGCTCGGTGGCTCAAGTCTGTAATACCACCTCTTTGGAAGGTCGAGGTGAGGGAATTGCCTGAGCCCATGGGTTCAAGAACAGCCTGGGCAACTTGGTGAGACCTGTCTCTCCAATAAATCAAAAAATTAGCTGGGTATGGTAACGCATGCCTGTAGTTCCGGCTACTTAGAAGGCTGAGGCGGAGGGATCACCTGTGCCCAGCAGGTTGATGCTGGGGTGGCTGTGTGCATACCACTGCACTCTAGCCTGGGCGATTGTAATAAGAGTCCAACTGAAAGAAAGAAAGACAGAGAGAGAGAGAGAGAGAGAGAGAGAGAGAGAGAGAGAGAGAGAGAGAGAGAGAGAGAGAGAGAAAGAGAGAAAGAGAGAAAGAAAGAAAGAAAGAGAGAGAAAGAAAGAAAGAAAGAAAGAAAGAAAGAAAGAAAGAAAGAAAGAAAACAGTCCCATTCACAGTAACATCAAAACTAATAAAATATCTAGAAATAAACATAACAAAAGAGGAGAAAGACATGGATGCTGAAAATTATAAATCATCGATGAAGAGAAATTTAAGACACAGATAAGTAGAAGCATATCCCATGCTTACGATTGGAAGAATTAATACTGTCAAAATGTCCATAGTACTCAAAAAGATCTACAGATTCAATGCAATCCTTATCAAAATCCCAGTAATATTCTTTACAGAAATAGAAATACTGCAATCCATATGAAACCAACAAGAATACTCCAAATAGCCAAAAAACATTGAGCAAGAACATGACTGGAGGTAAAATATTTTCTGGTTTCAAAATATATCATAAAGCCACAGTAAACAAAACTGGCATAATAAAACACATATAGACCAATGGAATAGAAGAGAGGGCCCAGAAATAAATGTATATGTGTATGGTCAATTCAGCTTCAACAAGGGTACCAAAATACTAAGTGAGGAAAGGATGGTCTCTCCTTATAGTTAGGAAAACTGGATATGCACATGCACAAGAATGAATTTGACCCTTATCTCACACCATACACAAAAATCAACAAAAAATGGATTTAAAACTTTATCATAAGACCAGAAACTACTGGAGGAAAGTATAAGGAAAAAACTTTTCTTTACATTGGTCTGAGCAATAATTTTTTGGACATGACACCAAAAGTACAGGTGAGAAAATCAAAGGATAAATACAATTGCATCAAACCAAAAAATTTCTGCACAGCAGAGGAAACAACTGAGTGAAAAGGCAATCTGCAAAATGGGAGAAAATATGTGAAAACCGTATATGTGATATGGGGTTACCATTCAAATTAAATAAAGAACTCAACTCATTAGCAAGGCCTGTGTTCCTTCTGGAGGCCCTAGGGGAGAATCCATTCTCCTACTTCTTCCAGCCTGCATTGCTTGGCTCATAACCCCTTTTTCTATCTTCATTACTGGGAGCACAGCATCTTCAAATTTTTCTCTGACTTGAATACTGACTCTCTTGCTTCCCTCTTTCATTGATAAGGATCTTTTGAGTACATACGCTAGGCCCACTACAGTAGTCCAGTATAATCTCCCCAACCCAAGATCAGCTGACTGGCAACCTTAATCTCTCCTTTGTTATTTAATATAATATATTCACAAGTTCCAAGGATTAGAATGTAGAAATCCTTGGGGGACCATTATTCTGCCTACCATACAAACAAAATATTTTAATGCAATGTCTACTTGGCAGTCAACTTTTTGCTTTCAATTTCACAATTAATACATCTAAGAATTGTTTTATGGCTTAAAAGAATTAAAAAAGCACAGGTAGAAGTAACTATTATATGCATATGTCTAAGATTTAGCAACATATACTAAATACCTAAAAGCTCGATTATAACTATAGATTTTGATATCTGACTTAACAGAATCATTCTCTTATCTTAAAAACACATAAAATGTTTACAACAAAAATATTTTTGTGAAATATAAATATAGTCATAGTCATCCTGATGTTAAAGTTCCAGGTTAGTATCATGATAGTATCATATGATGGTCTGTGAAGAAACTGGTGAGAGTACATTGATATGATTACCTCATTTTGCTTCTAATCATAGAAATAAACACATTTTGAAGTCTGCAAATATAGGAAAGATCATGATGTCAGTCAAACAAAAAGCATTAATGATCCAAAAGGTAAACATGCCCCCAACCCCAAGCAAATACACAGGCTAGTAGTGATGGTACCACACAGGGGCCTATAAGTAGAGGAGAGTTCAACCCCAAGTTAAGATTACTTTCCAGCAGCAGGCCTAGTGCAGATCCCTGTAAGCCACCAGGTATACTTTAAGAATAGGTCATATTTAAAAATATGTCTCAAACTAATGGTCATCAAAAAAATAACAAGTAGATATAGGACTAGGATAACAATTTATACATTATTTATTAAGTATAATGTAAAGTTCCTAAAATAGTACAAAAATAAATGGGATTTATCCAAATCCGAGAAAGCACAAATCACATACTTTCCCCTCTTCTTACTAATAATTTTAAGCAAGTCAATACTAGGAAATTATTCAAAACAATTCCCAGGGTATCTCATTTTAATTCCTACCTATTCAAATACACATCTCTGAAAACTGGTATTCACAATGACCTAAATATTTTGAAATACACCAAGTTCTTATTAATAATTAAAGAAAAACTAAGCTATGGTCAGATAATTTTACCTCTGAACCTATTGAAAACTTGTTAAAGATTTGCTTTATTTAAAACCTGGATATACCTGAGTTATAAATACATAAAATCCCGCTGCCTAAATATTGAAGTATTCATGCTCTATCTTTTTTTAAAATCACACTGCTCAAACATAAGTTCACTTGAACGTAATCAATAACAGGGCTCAAGTTTATAAGCAATAAAACTTAATTGAACCCCTCCAATGTACAGAAGAAGTTTTTTTCTCTAAAGTATGGTATTTTGTTTTAATCGATCAAAAGTAGTATCAATAAAAATCTAATAGCAGTTATCATGTCAGAATATATTCTTTCTTGACAATCAAGGAAACCTAAAATAGACAGGAAAGCACTGATAAAAGAAACAGTCAATTTTTCCATATAAGGATAAAGAAGCTTTGTGAACATATCTGAATAATGACAATAATAACAATGCTAATGATGATGGTAAAATGGTAAAAATTTGGTTTAAAATGGTAAAAATTTGGATGCTTTTGCTGGAAAGAAAAAAAAAAATCCCCAGAAAGAGTGCTACTGAAATTCATTTGTGATTCATCACCCTAATTGTAAATACAGGGAAAAATTTTATGATCTCCTTTCTCGGAATGCAACAATTACCTCTCCAAGAAGGCCATTCAGTTGTCCTGTTGCTGTTCAAACTGTTTACCAATGATCAGCATGATGATGAATGACGTAGAAAAATACACACTTCAGAACCATCTACACCATCCACATGTTTATTCTACACATTGTCCTGCTTGTATACAATCCCCATGGCTACTCTGGTGTAAGTCATTTCAACAGCAATACTTAAGATGGGAAAGACTAGACTGACAAAGTGTTTGTATTCTCCAAAAACCATAATAAGGAATATAAATGCCACTGTTTTCAAGATTTCAAATCAAATAAAGATTGCTTGAAGTAGTTTTAAAAGAAGAAAGCAAAACCATACAAAAAGTGATACATGGAATATTAAGTATTTGAGACATTTTTGATGATTAAGAAACAGACTATATATCTGATACATGACTACACAAATCTGATATTTCATTCCTAATAGACCATATCCAGCAGAAAAAACAATCTGTTTTCCAGACAGAAAATCCAATACCTTTCATAAATGCCAAAAGCTTAAATATAAAGTTTTCTGAAATATTAATCAAATCATACCTTAATAGAGGAGGAAAGAAAAAAATGTATGTGTAACAAATTAGTTTATCAGTTCAAATTTTATCAGTTGTACAATTCAGATAAAGCTTCCACAGTACAAAAACACTGAATGTATATCATGGCACTGAGAACAAACATTTAACAATGATTCATCCAAACAAGTAAGATTCAAAACATTTTTCCTAAAAGTAAAATACAGTATATAAGTTAGACAAATCTTTTAGTCCCCTCTGTAATGCTTTTAGTAGCCAATTAAAGAGGATTAAAATGTAAGGCCATTTGGAATTTCCCAAACGAAAAGATCAGATAGTAAAGAGACAGAAAGTAACATGAAAAAGAAACTCTACCATGACTCAAGACCCAAACAACAAAACAACTTCAGGTTATCTCAATGTCACTGGTTATAAAAGAATCTCTGAGTCAACCTTTCTACGGCAGATTAAATAAATAAGAGGAAAAAAAAACTTAATAAAGCTTTAAATTATGTGTTCCTCAGCCAATTTATTCAATTAACCCACATCCGTAGAACGTCTGCAGGGCATTTGCCACTTGCAAAGGAAAAACCAAAAGAAGATAAAAATATTCTAAAACCTCAAGGCATTTGCTCATCAATGCCAGAAAAAGGGCAAATTCAATACAGTACAGGCAATCCATCATGAGGAATTTAGCCCTCACAGAAGTCACGTTTGCAAACCTTACATGTTAGTTGTTTTTACGAAAGTATTAAGGCTTTTTGAGCAATAACAAGTAAATATAGGCAAGGAAAAACATAAAAGAAAAATACAAGAATACTGATATAAAATAAATAAATAAATAAACAAAACACCAGGGAAGGAAATTGCAAGCAGAGAAGAAAAATGTGTGAAGCAGAGGCATCTATGGAGAGAACTATTCTGTGGAAATCAGAGGCCAGGACGACAGCTAAGAGCTGCAAAAGACCACCTAACAAAGAGCTCTGAGCCACAAGGCGAAGGGACAACAATGACGTGATCCAAAGGGAATGTCTACATCTTAGTGCATGAAGAGAAGAGATTTATTACTTACCCGATTTATTTGATTGTTTCCTAAAATAACCTGTAGTAGGGTTTTCTCAAATTCTTCCAACTTCTTGGAACACTTTTTAAGAATATGATTAGATAAGTTATGATCACTGATCAGTCTAGCTAAAGTATTAACAGCTTCTGTCCAAAAGTTTGAGAAAGGAAGTTTGGGGTTGCGGTAAAAAGCGATCAGGCCATCCAGCAACTGAAAAACAGAATCAGAGACTATGGACGAGTCTTTTTCAAAGTGGGTTAAGTCTGTTTTCAGACTCCCTGACTCTGTCAGGTTCTTTAGTTGAAGCAGATGCTGCAAAAATTGCATGTGAGAAGACAGAGGATTTTCCAGGGAAGTATAAGGTCTTTTCATAAAAGGCAATGGTAGAAAGGGGATGGGAGTGTAGTTCTCTACACAATGATGGTACAATTCAGAAGGTTCAGTTCTCTGCTCATATGATAAATCACACCCAGAATCTTCCATCAGAGTTAATGTACTTTCAGAACTTCTAGGTTCCTGAGCCTGCAATGGGGAAGACAGTTTTCCTGAAACAGAAAGGAATAGAAGGGTTATCTTCCTGGAGCTCAAATTTCTTCATATAAAACTAGACATTGATTTTTCTAACTTAAAAAACTTAATGAAGCATGAAAACGCATATCAAACATTTAACAAGGAGTGGTAAAAAAGCTGAGCAGAGGAAAAACTGTGAAAAAAAACTGCTTAGGCTGACCACAGAAAAGGGTCTTTATCTTCATAGGCAGAAATCACTCATGGATTTTTAGATCACTATCTCTCATTCAACTACATGCCATACTTGAAGGATATAAAGGAGAAAGCCACAAGATCTGAAGGAGGTCACAGTCTAGTAAAGATTCCAGCGGTAACTATAAAGCAATAGGTATATCCAGAGATAGAAATCTGGTTAGGGTACTAGAAAACAGGAGGACCATTTAACTAGTTCAGCTGAGTAGATCAGTGCATCCTGGAAGAAGTCATAATGGAACTACTTGTGAGGTAGGAATTCAAAGCTGAAATTAGGAGGATAGAAAAAGACAAGAGAATTCCATACTCTAAGAAGTATATACAAATGCACAGAATAAGAAAAACAATAGCATTGTATAAGCAAGGCCCACAAGTGATTTGATGTTGCTTTCACAGAAGGTATAAGATGGAGACTAAGGAGACCAAGATGGAGAAATATGTAGAAGACAGATCATAAAAGACATATCAAGAATCTGAGAAGTTATTCTGTTGAGTGTAGAGTGGAAAAAATACACACACACACACACACACACACACACACACACACACACACACACACACACCTGAGATATATAAACCTGATATATATAATTTTTAGGGAGTCCTCGTGTGTGTGTGTGATCACATACACACACACGAGGACTCCCTAAAAATTATTTTTTGGAGGGTGGGCTCCCTGGAGTACAAGTTTCCCCCAGTAGGTAAGTTTTCTAGGAACTCACTGGCATCAGTATACAAGCTGGCATTGTTGTGAGGTGGCATCGGCTTCAGAAAATTTGGGGGGGAGATTCTTTCAACGTGTTTGCCCATTTCATTCATAATGGGTGATTTACAAGCATGCCTGCCCACACAGTGCTGAGATTTCAGAAGTTTTTGACCAAAAATAGCATGACTCCCATGCCTCACCCTCCCTATTCACCCAATCTTGCTCTCAAGTGACTTTTTTTGGTTTGTTTCCCTGGATGAAAAAAGTCCTCAAAGGGTAACGTTTTGCAAATGTGGAAGAAGTGAAACAAAAAACAGCAGAAGAACTAAAAGGCATCAAAATCGACAAGTTCAAAAATGGTTTTGAGCAGTGCAAAAAGCACCTCTATCGGTGTATTTCATCAAATGGAGAGTACTCTGAAGGTGACTGAAGTTTAAACATGTAAAAATAAATATGCAACTTTTTATAAATAAGTTCCATTTTGGGGGGCCTCCTTCATATATACATGTATCTTATATAGATTCCTGAAACTATATCTATAGACTCTCCTGATATTGGCTGAGAATACTACATTTAAAGTTAAACCTGCCAGGAGCGGTGGCTCAGCCTGTAATTCCAGCACTTTGGGAGGCAGAGGTAAGACCTGAGCCCAAGGGTTCGGGACCAGTCTGGGAAACTTGGCGAGACCTTGTCTCTACAATAAATCAAAAAAGTTGTTGGGTGTGGTGGTGCATACCCGTGGTTCCAGCTACTTGAAAGTCTGAGACAGAAGTATCACCTGGGCCTAGGAGGTCGATGCTGCGGTGGCCGTAATAAGCATGCCACTGCATTCCAGCCTGGGCGACAAGAGTGACAATCCTATTCAAAAATAAAAAAAAAGCTAAAACTAGTAAGTTTATGTCAATCTTTGACAGACACGCCACTAAGTGGTGGTTGTTTTTCAAATGGTTATCAGTAAAATGCACAAACCAAGCTGAGAACTCATCACTGAATATTCTAAAGTGAATAGATAGATGACAGATAGAAACAGAGAGAAAGAGAGACAGAGAGAGAGACAGAGAGAGAGAGACAGATTCAGGAAATCAAATATTGCTCTCAGCAGCGGGAACAGGAATGAGGAGTTAAAGATGTGATGCAGGAAAGTCAAATTGTCTTATTACTTCCAGAGATCCTCAAACTTTTAAAACAGGGGGCCAGTTCAATGTCCCTCAGACCGTTGGAGGGGCGGACTATAGTAAAAAAAAAAAAACTATGAATAAATTCCTTTTTTTTTTTAAAAAAAAAAAACTATAGTCT